GTTACATTTTAAAATGTTACATTTTAACAAGTTTAATTTTAACATGATAAAATGTTACATTTTAACATGTTTCATTTTAACATGATAAAATGTTACATTTTAACATGTTATATTTTAACATAATAAAATGTTACATTTTAAAATGTTTCATTTTAACACGATAAAATGTTACATTTTAAAATGTAACATTTTAACATGCTGCATTTTAACATGATAAAATGTTACATTTTAACATGTTGCATTTTAACATTAAAAATGTTAGATTTTAACATGTTGCATTTTAACATGATAAAATGTTAAATTTTAACATGTTTCATTTTAACATGATAAAATGTTACATTTTAACATGTTTCCTTTTAACATGATAAAATGTTACATTTTAACATGTTACGTTTCAACATGTTACATGTTAAAATGTTGCATTTTAACATGATAAAATGTTACATTTTAACATGATAAAATGTTACATTTTAAGATGTTACATTTTAATATGTTGCATTTTATCATGATAAAATGTTACATTTTAACATGTTTTATTTTAACATGATAAAATGTTACATTTTAACATGTTTCATTTTAACATAATAAAATGTTAAATTTTAACATGTATCATTTTAACATGATAAAATGTTACATTTTAACATGTTACATTTTAATATGTTACATTTTAACTTGTTGCATTTTAACATGATAAAATGTTACATTTTAACATGTTGCATTTTAACATGATAAAATGTTACATTTAAAAATGTTACATTTTAACATGTTACATTTTAATATGTTACATTTTAATATGTTGCATTTTATCATGATAAAATGTTACATTTTAACATGTTACATTTAAAAAAATGTTACATTTTAACAAGTTTCATTTTAACATGATAAAATGTTACATTTTAAAATGTTGCATTTTAAAATGGTAAAATGTTACATTTTAACATGTTTCATTTGAAAATGTTACATTTTAACATGTTGCATTTTAACATGCTTCATTTTAACATAATAAAATGTTACATTTTTACATGTTTCATTTTAACATGATAAAATGTTACATTTTAACATGTTTCATTTTAACATGATAAAATGTTACATTTTAACACGTTTCATTTTAACATGATAAAATGTTACATTTAAAAATTTTACATTTTAACATGTTACATTTTAATATGTTACATTTTAACATGTTTCATTTTAACATAATAAAATGATACATTTTAACATGTTACATTTTAATATGTTACATTTTAACATGTTGCATTTTAACATTTTGCATTTTAACATTTTAAAATGTTATTTTTAACATGTTTCATTTTACCATGATAAAATGTTACATTTTAACATGTTTCATTTTAACATGTTTCATTTTAACATGATAAAATGTAACATTTAAAAATATTACATTTTAACATGTTACATTTTAATATGTTACATTTTAATATGTTGCATTTTATCATGATAAAATGTTACATTTTAACATGTTACATTTTAACATGTTACATTTTAAAATGTTACATTTTAACAAGTTTAATTTTAACATGATAAAATGTTACATTTTAACATGTTTCATTTTAACATGATAAAATGTTACATTTTAACATGTTTCATTTTTACATAATAAAATGTTACATTTTAACATGTTTCATTTTAACACGATAAAATGTTACATTTTAAAATGTAACATTTTAACATGTTACATTTTAATATTTTACATTTTAACATGTTACATTAAAACATGCTGCATTTTAACATGATAAAATGTTACATTTTAACATGTTGCATTTTAACATTAAAAATGTTAAATTTTAACATGTTTCATTTTAACATAATAAAATGTTACATTTTAACATGTTGCATTTTAACATGATAAAATGTTAAATTTTAACATGTTTCATTTTAACATGCTAAAATGTTACATTTTAACATGTTTCATTTTAACATGTTGCATTTTAACATGATAAAATGTTACATTTTAGCATGTTACATATTAAAATATTACATTTTAACAAATTTCATTTTAACATGATAAAATGTTACATTTTAAAATGTTAAATTTTAACATGTTACATTTTAATATGTTACATTTTAACATGTTAAGTCAAGTCAAGAGTATTTATTCCATTGATCTATAACAATACAGAAATAGGAACAGTCAAATATTCTTACTAAATGCTAATACATTGAATTAAAATTAACTAAAAACTATGTACAACAGGTTAAAACTTAACATTAAACTCTGACATTTCAAATTCATCAAACGAATAAAAAGGGTTTTCAACTAGCCAGTATTTTATAGTTGTTTTGAAGTGATTAAATGAGATGAGTTTTGCAGTTTGGGGGAGCCTATTAAAAAACCTAACACAGTTGGCTTTAAAGGATTTACCTGTTTTGGCCAACCTGTGTTGGGGTAAATCCAGCTTAGCCTTGCCCCTCGTGTCATGTGCATGAAAGTGGTCTCTGGTGGTGAAATCTGAAAGGTGTAGTTTTGTGTGGATAAGTACTTGGTAGATGTAAAGGTTTATTACTGTCATGATATTTAGTCTGATAAACAATGGTTTACAGTGTTCCACTTTATCCACTCTACACATAGTTCTCAAGATTTTCTTTTGAATTATGAGAATGTCGTGTACAGCACTAGAGTGACCCCACAAAACTATTCCAAAACAAATATGTGATTGGACAAAAGAAAAATAAGATATCCTCAAATTAAAAAAGACACTCTGGAAATTTTCTTACAAATACCATCTATATGATCATTCCAATCAAGTCTAGAATCCAAATGAAAACCAAGAAGCTTTACTGATTTATAGTTACTTGTACCTGCCATGCTTAGCAATAAATCTTGAGTTTTATCATTATTGCAAAGCAACTTATTTGATGCAAACCATATTTGTGCAGAGTTGTAAGCATGATTTATGTTCTCCTCAAGAGTTTTCAGATTGGAATGTGATGAAAGTAACGTTGTATCATCAGCATAAATGACTGTCTGAGAGGGTATGTTGCAAGGTAGGTCGTTAATGAAAACTATAAAAAGAAATGGTCCCAGAACAGAGCCCTGGGGAACACCAGTTGTTACAGTTAATGTTGTTGATTGGCTACAATTAAAAGAAACATATTGTTTACGATTAGACAGATAGGACTTCAATAAATTCAGAGAGTTGTGTGAGATGCCGTAGTAAGAGAGTTTGTCAAGGAGAATACGATGTTCAACACAATCAAAAGCTTTACTCAGATCGCAGAGCTTTAGAGACACTGATTCCTTATTTTCAAAAGCAGTAAGAATGTTGTCAACCAGAGCAGACACAGCAGTGGTTGTTGATTTCTTTGATCGAAACCCAAACTGGTAGGGACTAAATAGATGGTTTATGTGGAAGTGATGATTAAGCTGAACATGTAGGAGTGACTCAAATACCTTAGAGAAGATGGGAACAATTGAAATTGGTTGATAATTCTGTACCAGAGCTTTATCCCCTTTTTTATAGACAGGAATCACCTTAGAGACTTTTAGTAAATCAGAAAAATAGCCCTGAGTCAAACACTGGTTAAAGATGAATGCAAGAGGCTCACTAATATACATTATGGTTTTTCTTAGAAGAAAATTAGATATCCAGTAAAAATCTGTTGCTTTTGAGTTGGAAAGATTTGTCACTGTTTTCATTACCTGATCCGTGGAGACGTGAGACCAATTGAAAGCAATTGACTTTTGTTTCGAGTTCCGTGTGAGGTTAAGTGCCTGCGTGTTGGTGCTTATTATATTTTTCTGTATATCTGAAACTGAATTAATGAAAAAATTGTTAAACTGGTTTGGATCAATTGTTATTTTAGTTTTGTTTGTGTGTGATTGTGTTTCTAAAGAAATCACCTCCCACGCTGCTTTACACTTATTACTTGAGTTTTCAATATAATTTTCATACGTCTGTTTCTTAGCCATTTTAATATTATCCTTGTATTGTTTCTTAAAAAACAAGTAAGCTCTGTAAGCCACATCAGTATGGACCGAGTGATCTCTTTCAAAGCACTTATACATATTATGATAACCTAGCATTAGATCTCTAGATTTTCTTAGATCGTCTGAATACCAATTAAATTTTTGTTTGGTTCTACATTTACTCTTAGATGATACTAAAGGAGAAGCGAAATGCCAAAGATTAACATACCTTTTAAAAAATAAGTCAAACAAAGCTTCTACATTTATCTCATTACATAGATAGGAGCTTATTATTTCCCAATGTTCATTTTTTAAACACTCAATAAACAAGGAAATTTGTTCTTCATCTTGTCTGCGAAAAAAATGTTTGATTCCAGATTTATCTGAGTTAATTTCTGTATGTTTCTTTCTATCTAGTTTATAATTAATAAGAAGAGGATCGTGATCAGATAAACAGGATTTCATAACTTTTACATTATATAGATCCTCAGAAAAATTAACAAAAACATTATCAATACAAGACTTTTTTCTGGTTGGAGACAAATTGGTTACAACTAAGTTATATGAGCGCAAGATATTAAGAAATGTGACGGTAGTAGGTTCGGTAATTTTATCAAACTTGATGTTGTAGTCACCACAAATAATAATTTTTGTACCTCGCTTATGAATTTGTTTGACTACTTTCTCAAAGTTGTCAAAGAAAATTTTAGTATCACCATTAGGTGGTCTGTACAGTGATACAATGACGAGATTTAAGTTCTTAAGCTTTATACAAGTTATTTCAATATTACGCTCTGAATTGAACATATTTACATCAATTTCACAATACTGCAAGCTAGATTTGGTGTTGTGATTAAGCATCTTTTTATTTAATTAAAAATAAGTAGATTTTATTTTATTGTATTTAAAAATATTCATTTTATTTTAATAATTCAATTTGCAGTTTCATAAATATTTAAAACTTTGTATTCCATTTGTTAGAATAATTCTCATGAAATGGTTTCATTCATTGTAGTTAGTTAAGTAAATCACTCATAGATAGGGTAAGCTGCCAGGTTGGGTACAATGGTCATACTGGACGGTCTCAACGGTTGCTTCAGTGGGCAGAGAGTGGACAGAGACAGAGACAGAATGTGACATGTGTTTTGTGCTTGGACTGAAGAGAAGATTTTTCGCCATGTAGTCGTGAGTCAGACATTTATAGACATTAATTTCAAGGGTCATCAGCATCCCTTTCTCATTATTAATTAATTTTCCAAGGGTCAGCAGTATCCCTTTATTTTTAACAAACTTTTATTCAGTACAGTAACTTACAGTGTATACCTGTGCAATCAATCCTGAACAAGCTCCAATACAGTATAATAGTCACTAACTGAGGCTAATAGAGCCACTGCAGCTCAATTCTTCTAATCATCTGTGGTCTAGTGGTCAGAGCATTGGACTTACAATCTCATATTCCCGGGTTCCATCCTACCTGGCAGCAATATCTTTTTGCTCATTTAAAAATTGTTTAAATATTAATTGTAACATTTTATTTTCATTTAAGGGTTATTTCATTTTATTTGTAAGCATAATAGTTATTTTCTTTAATACAGTTCATTTTGTCATAAATTGTGTTTTGTTATTTTTCACAGCAATCAAGTCTCAGGAATTAGCATAAAATTTCATAAGAGGTTAGAGTTAGGATTTTATTGTTTTAAAAGACCTTAAATTTCCTCTTTGGCTTCAACATAGTGGTCCTTCGAGCCGGATTTTGATTAGTTGTGGAATATTATATTAACAATTTATTTGAAGTGAATAGGCCTAACTATTTAATTGTTTACCAAATAAATATTATTTGTTCACTTATTAATCAATTGAATTGTGTAAAGTTGTTTATACTTGATAAGTGTTTATTACTGTATTCATTACTCATTATTTTATTGTACATTTTGCATTTCAAACTCAAATTGATAACAGCAATCATCAGAATAGTTGTTCAAATATTACATAGCATATAATTTATTGTTGAAATTTCACAGACATTTCAGAACAATTGTTTGTTGTATAGAATAAGTTTTTAACTATTTTACTTGTCATGGTCCATTGCTTATTTGTCACTTGTATTTTCATAAGATGTATTTGGTTCATTTAATGTTTCATTGCAGGTCAGTACTTACAATCTGTTTTCAATCTTTTATAACTAATTGAATGGTTTCTTACTAATGCACTTTTCAGTAGGTTTGCTATTGTACAAGCTGTTTAATCATACTACAGCCGAACTAAATTAATACTTCTTCATTCATTTTCTATTTTCCTTTGAACCCATAACCTATCCCAGTCCAACATGGATGCCGAAGAGTTCAAACGCAAGGCTACCACTTTGAAGAGGAAATTAGTAGAGAGTTTCAAGGAAGTTCAAGTAATAAATGAAAAGGGCAGAGCAGCACTCAACAATAAGGATCAACATAATTCCTTCAAGGGCATGTTTAAGGTTCTTGAGAAATATTACTCAAGATTTGAAAATATTTGGGATGAGCTCACAGACCTGTATGAAACTGAGAAGTCTACTGGGAAACAAACCTTTCCTCAAGAAGATGACCTAACAATGCAAACTAAAGCTAAACGTTACTACTATGAAGCACACACTTCACATGAAACTATTCTCTCAGAGGTTAGCACTACTTCATCAAGGCAGAGTATGGGACTTAATGAATCTTTGTCACCAGAAGCCAGAAGCAACAAACATTTGCCTCGCATCAATCTTCCACATTTCAATGGCCAGATTACGAATTGGTCCAAGTTTCGAGATGCCTTCACTTCCATTATCCATAATGATGCCTTATCATCAAAAATGGAGAAATTTCACTATCTCGTCTCTTCTTTAGGGGGAACTGCCTCTGCAGTGATAAGACATCTTCCTTTGGTTGACGACAACTATGATATTGCTTGGAAGGCTTTAAATGAAACTTTCAATAACAAGCGTATGCTTGCTTCAAATTACCTCAATCAATTGATGGCATTCAAACCACAACAGGGGAAAACAACTGTAGATTCACTACAGTCATTTCTTTCTCAAATTTCAGATAATATTGCTGCATTTAAACTTTTGAAAATACCTGACGAAGGTGACTTCATTCTGTTTCATATAGCAGTTAGGCTGTTGGATCATACAACTCGAGAGCAATTTGAGTTGCAGCATAAAGGAAAAGATTTTCCAGTTTTCAATGATTTGACTAAATTTCTCCGTGAACGCTCTCTAGCTCTTCAGTTGGCTGGAGGAAACACACAACAATTGGAGATAAGGCCATCCACTTCTGGGAAGAATAGTGGGAGCTTCAAACCATCAAATAGTCGTAACTTGAAGACTTCACTCATATCCAGCTCTTTGCCTAAATCCTCGGCTAACTCCGACAGCAATGATGTATGCTTCATATGCCAAAGGGGGTCTCATGCTCTATTCAAATGCAATAAATTTGCTGATGCATCAGTCGATGATAGACATAAAATGTTGAAGGCTTGGCGTGGATGTAGAAACTGCCTGTCATACTTTCACTCAACTAATAGATGCAATTCTAGATGGTCTTGCAAGGTCTGCAAGAAGAGGCATAATTCACTTTTGCATCTACCCGTTCCTGATAGCAACACATCCTCATTGGAACATGAAGATACAACCGCAATCAAGGCTAATGTTGTGAATCCACCAGATTCTTCATTAACAGCAACCCTGCCTGAACAAAGTCAAGTCTTGTTGGGTACAGTTATTGCTGAAATTCAGGATGTTCATGGCAACTTCACTCAAGTGAGACTTGTAGTGGACTCAGGTAGTCAGCACTCATTCATCACAAAGAAATGTGCAAATAAACTTGGCTTGATGATTAAATCATTCCCTCACAAAATCAGTGCTATTGGTCAGACAGTTTTTAATGGCACTAAAGGCAAAGTACGCTGTCACCTTAAACCACGCAACTTGCAGTCACCTATTGTTGAAACTGAAGCAATAGTTGTAAATAACATTACATCTCACTTACCTAATTTTGTCATGCCCTCCAATATTTGGAAAAATTACGCTACCTTTGACTTAGCTGACCCTAAGTTTTGGCAACCAGGTCCTGTAGATTTTCTGCTGGGATCAGATTTGTTCTCAGATATTTGGGATGGATCCACCGTGACAGTACAAGACAACCAGCCAAAGCTCTTTTCCTCTATATTTGGTTATATAGTCATAGGACGAGTTTCTGGAACTTGTTTATTATCCGTTGATGGTAACAACTCCTTATTCACTGTTAACAACGAAGCTCATGACTTGAGACAACAGATCCAACGCTTTTGGGAGCTTGAAGAGCCCCATACTGACATTAGTTTCACAAACCCTGAAGACGAAGCATGTGAAGCTCACTTCAAGAACACCCACTTCAGGATGGACGATGGTCAATACGTTGTACGCCTACCTTTCAAGACGCCTAGTCCACAATTAGGAAATTTTGAAGGAACATCACTGAAGAGATTCTACAATCTTGAAGGAAAACTTATTAAAGACAAGAATTTGATGTCAGAGTATTATGATTTCATGAAAGACTATCAAGATCTGGGTCACATGAATGTCACAACTTCCCCTTCAAAGTATGTCATTCCTCACCACTGTGTGGTAAAAGAGGATAGAGGCAAAACAAAATTACGTGTTGTCTTTGACGCTTCTGCTCAGTCATCGCCCTTTCCTTCTTTGAACAGCCAACTCATGATGGGTGCAAAGCTGCAACAAGACATTAGGGACATTCTTCTGAGATTTCGTTTGCACCCAGTTGTCTTCGTGGCTGATATTGTCAAAATGTATCGGCAAATTTTGGTTGACCCGCATGACAGGTCCTACCAACACATTTATTGGAGATTTAATCCAGCAGACCCAATAAAAAAGTATGAATTGTGCACTGTCACGTATGGATTGACTTCTGCACCCTTTCTAGCACTTAGAGTTATGAAGCAACTCGCTTTAGACGAAGGCGAGAACCATCCAAGAGCTGCTCAAGCTATATCGCAGGATATGTATGTGGATGATATAGTGACTGGCACATCTTCACTGAATGAAGCTTTGAAGCTTCAACAAGAAACCATCCAGTTATTAGAAAAAGGACATTTTTCGCTAAGTAAATGGGCAAGCAACCAAGAAGAGCTTTTGAAAGTGGCCAATTCAGGACAACAAGCAGACTCAGTCAACTTCTCTTCAAACGAAGACTCTAGTGTGAAGATACTAGGACTTCATTGGGATCCAACAAATGATGTCTTCGTTTTTAAGCTTCAGGACTTCTCTCCAGCATCTACCAAGCGATCTATCCTATCTACTGTTGCTAAGATATATGACCCTCTAGGATTCCTGGCACCAGTCACATTTTTAGCCAAAGGGATCATGCAGGAGTTATGGAAGCTTGGCTTGAATTGGGATGAAGAAATACCCTTTCATCTTAAATCAGTTTGGGAAGAGTTCATAAAACAGCTTAGGAAATTGTCAGACCTCACCATACCAAGACTTGTAGTACCCAACAAACCCCTTTCTTATCAACTAGTGGGATTTTCAGACGCATCAGCACAAGGATACTGTGCTACACTGTATCTTAGAGTTGTCAGTGAGGACCAAATATCCACACACCTTCTCGTCACTAAAACTAAATTAGCACCAATCAAAACTGTTTCTATACCCCGTCTTGAATTGTGTGGGGCACATCTTTTAGCTAGACTTCATTCTGCAGTATCCAAGATGTTTTCTCTAAATACTGCAATCAAGTTTGAAGAACCAGTCTTCTTTACTGATGCATCAATTGTGTTGGGCTGGCTCCATATGCCACTTTACAAGCTCAAGGTTTTCATCTCAAATAGAGTATCACAAATTACAGAGCTCACATCGTTGTCATGTTGGCGACATGTACGTACAAGTGAAAATCCAAGTGATTGTGGATGAAGAGGATTGTCTGTGGACAAACTCAAGAACAACAGTTTATGGTGGCATGGTCCCCAATGGCTATGTGAACATGCAGAAGAATGGCCGAAATCAAATGTGGACCTGACATCACAAACTGATCTCCCAGATCTGAAGACTGAACACACTACATTGATGTCTACTGACTCAGAACCTTTCATCGTAACCTTCATCTCATCACAATCATCATATTACAAGATCTTGACAGCAATTGCTTGGTGGAAAAGATTTATAACCAATGCAACTGCAAAAATAAATTCTGGTCAAATTCGCATCGGTCTGCTACACCCTTCTGAAATGAGGGAAGCTTTAATTTATGTAGTGAATAAGCTTCAGTCACACTACATATTTCAAGATGACACTTGCAACAAGGAAAAAATATCCAATTCCAAATTTTCCAACCTCTCTCCATTCTTCGATGAAAATGGCACCCTTAGAGTTGGCGGAAGACTAAACAGAGCTTCACTTCCTTCCGATCAAAGACATCCTATTCTGCTGCCAAAGTGTCACTTCACTACTTTGCTTGTGGATTATTATCATAAGCTGTATTTACACCCAGGACCTGGTCTCTTGCAAGCATTAATTCAGCTTCGATTTTGGATACCTTCATTACGAAGTCTCGTTCGTCATCGCACATTCAAGTGTTTGACTTGCTACAAAGACAAGGCAAAGAACCTCACACCCAGAATGGCTGATCTTCCACCATCAAGAGTAAATCCGAGCAGAGCCTTTCTTCATGTAGGAATTGATTTTGCTGGTCCTTTCCCCATGAGAGAATCTCAACGAAGAAAAGCGGCAGTCCCTAAAGCCTACCTTTGTGTCTTTGTATGTATGGCTACCAAAGCCGTTCATTTGGAAATCGTCAGTGCGCTGAGTACAGATGCATTTCTGGCTGCTCTCAATAGATTTATTGGTCGCAGAGGACTCCCCGAACATTGTTACTCAGACTGTGGCACAAATTTTCAGGGAGCTGCTAACAAGTTGAGAGAGTTTGGGTCTTGGTATCGCGAACAGTCAACTCAAGAGGACATACTTCATCAAGCAACCAAATTTGAAATAAAGTGGAACTTTAATCCTCCTTCAGCACCCCACTTCGGAGGTCTCTGGGAAGCTGCCGTGAAGTCAGCGAAGACACTTCTCCGAAGAGTGGCAGGTGACACACCACTCACATATGAGGAGCTCACAACTTGGTTTGTCAGAATTGAAGCTGTTTTAAACTCCAGACCTTTATGTCCGTTGTCTTCATCTCCTGAAGAAACTGAGTTCCTATCACCTGGCCATTTTTTGATTGGGACATCACTCCTTGCCACCCCTGAACCGTCACTTTTAGATACTAAAGTATCATCTTTATCTCGTTGGCAATTGCTGCTAAGAATGACTCAACACTTTTGGCAAAGATGGAGGGTTGAATACCTTACGTTCCTACAAAAGAGGAACAAATGGACCAAGAACTATGAGAATGCAAAAGTAGGCGATCTTGTCTTGCTAAAAGAGCCAAATGCCCCTGTTCTTCAATGGCCTTTGGCGAGAATTACACACGTGCACCCAGGTGAAGACGGTATTGTCAGAGTTTTGACAGTAAAGTGTGGACGTTCTGAGTTGAGAAGACCTGCAGTCAAAGTTGTTCCTCTTCTTCCCCTCCATACCAGTCACTTAGATTAAGTACCAAAATCAGTAGAAATTTCTTTGGAAATTTCGGTGGGGAGTATGATTAAGCATCTTTTTATTTAATTAAAAATAAGTAGATTTTATTTTATTGTATTTAAAAATATTCATTTTATTTTAATAATTCAATTTGCAGTTTCATAAATATTTAAAACTTTGTATTCCATTTGTTAGAATAATTCTCATGAAATGGTTTCATTCATTGTAGTTAGTTAAGTAAATCACTCATAGATAGGGTAAGCTGCCAGGTTGGGTACAATGGTCATACTGGACGGTCTCAACGGTTGCTTCAGTGGGCAGAGAGTGGACAGAGACAGAGACAGAATGTGACATGTGTTTTGTGCTTGGACTGAAGAGAAGATTTTTCACCATGTAGTCGTGAGTCAGACATTTATAGACATTAATTTCAAGGGTCATCAGCATCCCTTTCTCATTATTAATTAATTTTCCAAGGGTCAGCAGTATCCCTTTATTTTTAACAAACTTTTATTCAGTACAGTAACTTACAGTGTATACCTGTGCAATCAATCCTGAACAAGCTCCAATACAGTATAATAGTCACTAACTGAGGCTAATAGAGCCACTGCAGCTCAATTCTTCTAATCATCTGTGGTCTAGTGGTCAGAGCATTGGACTTACAATCTCATATTCCCGGGTTCCATCCTACCTGGCAGCAATATCTTTTTGCTCATTTAAAAATTGTTTAAATATTAATTGTAACATTTTATTTTCATTTAAGGGTTATTTCATTTTATTTGTAAGCATAATAGTTATTTTCCTTAATACAGTTCATTTTGTCATAAATTGTGTTTTGTTATTTTTCACAGCAATCAAGTCTCAGGAATTAGCATAAAATTTCATAAGAGGTTAGAGTTAGGATTTTATTGTTTTAAAAGACCTTAAATTTCCTCTTTGGCTTCAACATGTTGCATTTTAACATGATAAAATGTTACATTTTAACATGAGGCATTTTAACATGATAAAATGTTAAATTTTAACTTGTTTCATTTTAACATGATAAAATGTTACATTTTAACATGTTTCATTTTAACATGATAAAATGTTACATTTTAACATGTTTCATTTTAACATAATAAAATGTTACATTTTAAAATAATTCATTTTAACACGATAAAATGTTACATTTTAAAATGTAACATTTTAACATGTTACATTTTAATATGTTACATTTTAACATGTTGCATTTTAACATGCTGCATTTTAACATGATAAAATGTTACATTTTAACATGTTGCATTTTAACATTAAAAATGTTACATTTTAACATGTTGCATTTTAACATGATAAAATGTTAAATTTTAACATGTTTCATTTTAACATGATAAAATGTTACATTTTAACATGTTTCCTTTTAACATGATAAAATGTTACATTTTAACATGTTACGTTTCAACATGTTACATGTTAAAATGATGCATTTTAACATGATAAAATGTTACATTTTAACATGTTTCATTTTAACATGATAAAATGTTACATTTAAAAATGTTACATTTAAAAATGTTACATTTTAACATGTTACATTTTAATATGTTACATTTTAATATGTTGCATTTTATCATGATAAAATGTTACATTTTAACATGTAACATTTTAAAATGTTACATTTTAACAAGTTTCATTTTAACATGTTTTATTTTAACATGATAAATTGTTACATTTTAACATGTTTCATTTTAACATGATAAAATGTTACATTTTAACATGTTTCATTTTAACATAATAAAATGTTACATTTTAACATGTTTCATTTTAACACGATAAAATGTTACATTTTAAAATGTAACATTTTAACATGTTATATTTTAATATGTTACATTTTAACATGTTGCATTTTAACATGCTGCATTTTAACATGATAAAATGTTACATTTTAACATGTTGCATTTTAACATTAAAAATGTTAAATTTTAACATGTTTCATTTTAACATGCTAAAATGTTACGTTTTAACATGTTTCATTTTATCATGTTGCATTTTAACATGATAAAATGTTACATTTTAGCATGGTACATTTTAAAATATTACATTTTAACAAATTTAATTTTAACATGATAAAATGTTACATTTTAAAATGTTAAATTTTAACATGTTACATTTTAATATGTTAAATTTTAACATGTTGCATTTTAACATGATAAAATGTTACATTTTAACATGAGGCATTTTAACATGATAAAATGTTAAATTTTAACTTGTTTCATTTTAACATGATGAAATGTTACATTTTAACATGATAAAATGTTAAATTTGAACATGTTACATTTTAAAATAATAAAATGTTACATTTTAACATGTTTCATTTTAACATGATAAAATGTTACATTTTAACATGATTAATTTTAACATGATAAAATGTTACATTTTAACATGTTTCATTTTAACATGATAAAAAGTTATATTTTAACATGTTTCATTTTAACATGATAAAATGTTACATTTTAACATGTTTCATTTTAACATGATAAATTGTTGCATTTTAACATGATAAAATGTTACATTTTAACATGTTACATTTTAAAATGTTGCATTTTAACATGATAAAATGTTACATTTTAACATGTTTTATTTGGAAATGTTACATTTTAACATGTTTCATTTGAAAAAGTTACATTTTTACATGTTTTCATTTAAACATGTTTCATTTTAACATGATAAAATGTTACATTTAAAAATCTTACATTTTAACATGTTACATTTTAATATGTTACATTTTAATATGTTGCATTTTAACATGATAAAATGTTACATTTTGACATGTTGTATTTTAACATGTTTCATTTGAAATGTTACATTTTTACATGTTTCATTTAAACATGTTTCATTTTAACATGATAAAATGTTACATTTAAAAATGTTTCATTTTAACATGTTGCATTTTAACACTTTAAAATTTTAATTTTTAACATGTTTCATTTTACCATGATTAAATGTTACATTTTAACATGTTTCATTTTACCATGTTTCATTTTAACATGATAAAATGTTACATTTAAAAATGTTACATTTAAAAATGTTACATTTTAACATGTTACATTTTAATATGTTACATTTTAATATGTTGCATTTTAACATCTTACATTTTAAAATGTTACATTTTAACATGTTTCATTTTAACATGATAAAATGTTACATTTTAACATGTTTCATTTTAACATAATAAAATGTTACATTTTAACATGTTTCATTTTAACACGATAAAATGTTACATTTTAAAATGTAACATTTTAACATGTTACATTTTAATATGTTACATTTTAACATGTTGCATTTTAACATGCTGCATTTTAACATGATAAAATGTTACATTTTAACATGTTGCATTTTAACATTAAAAATGTTAAATTTTAACATGTTGCATTTTAACATGATAAAATGTTAAATTTTAACATGTTTCATTTTAACATGATAAAATGTTACATTTTAACATGTTTCCTTTTAACATGATAAAATGTTACATTTTAACATGTTACGTTTCAACATGTTACATGTTAAAATGCTGCATTTTAACATGATAAAATGTTACATTTTAACATGTTTCATTTTAACATGATAAAATGTTACATTAAAAAATGTTACATTTAAAAATGTTACATTAAAAAATCTTACATTTTAACATGTTACATTTTAATATGTTACATTTTAATATGTTGCATTTTATCATGATAAAATGTTACATTTTAACATGTAACATTTTAAAATGTTACATTTTAACAAGTTTCTTTTTAACATGTTTTATTTAACGTGATAAAATGTTACATTTTAACATGTTTCATTTTAACATAGTAAAATGTTAAATTTTAACATTTTTCATTTTAACATGATAAAATGTTACATTTTAAAATGTTACATTTTAACATGTTACATTTTAACATGTTTCATTTTAACATAGTAAAATGTTAAATTTTAACATTTTTCATTTTAACATGATAAGATGTTACATTTTAACATGTTACATTTTAAAATGTTGCATTTTAACATGATAAAATGTTACATTTTAACATGTTTTATTTGGAAATGTTACATTTTAACATGTTTCATTTGAAAAAGTTACATTTTTACATGTTTTCATTTAAACATGTTTCATTTTAACATGATTAAATGTTACATTTAAAAATCTTACATTTTAACATGTTACATTTTAATATGTTACATTTTAATATGTTGCATTTTAACATGATAAAATGTTACATTTTGACATGTTGTATTTTAACATGTTTCATTTGAAATGTTACATTTTTACATGTTTCATTTAAACATGTTTCATTTTAACATGATAAAATGTTACATTTAAAAATGATTCATTTTAACATGTTGCATTTTAACACTTTAAAATGTTAATTTTTAACATGTTTCATTTTACCATGATTAAATGTTACATTTTAACATGTTTCATTTTACCATGTTTCATTTTAACATGATAAAATGTTACATTTAAAAATGTTACATTTAAAAATGTTACATTTTAACATGTTACATTTTAATATGTTACATTTTAATATGTTGCATTTTAACATCTTACATTTTAAAATGTTACATTTTAACATGTTTCATTTTAACATGATAAAATGTTACATTTTAACATGTTTCATTTTAACATGATAAAATGTTACATTTTAACATGTTTCATTTTAACATAATAAAATGTTACATTTTAACATGTTTCATTTTAACACGATAAAATGTTACATTTTAAAATGTAACATTTTAACATGTTACATTTTAATATGTTACATTTTAACATGTTGCATTTTAACATGCTGCATTTTAACATGATAAAATGTTACATTTTAACATGTTGCATTTTAACATTAAAAATGTTAAATTTTAACATGTTGCATTTTAACATGATAAAATGTTAAATTTTAACATGTTTCATTTTAACATGATAAAATGTTACATTTTAACATGTTTCCTTTTAACATGATAAAATGTTACATTTTAACATGTTACGTTTCAACATGTTACATGTTAAA